TGTTGCCTTGTTTGTCTTGAAGATCCATATTTNTTTTTCTAGTTCCTCTTTAAGCAAATTGGCTTCATGTTCCTCCAGTTTCGCTGTACTGGACATCAACTTTTCTGTTTGTCTCTCATATTCTATAACCAGTCTTTCAAACACTCCTTCTACACACTCTGATCTCAAAAGCGCTTCCTTGCGCACCATTTCGCCAAATAAGTCTGCCATCATTTCTAAATCTTCTGTGACTGACACATTACAACGTTGGCCTATCTCCATTGCATGTTCCCACAAACCAATGGCTAGTTCGTAGTTCTCTGAGTCAGCAAAAACTGCACCACGGTATCTGATTGGATGGCGAAGTTCTGTATTATCAGTTCCAAGGATTCTCTCTCTGATTATAAGACCCTCCATGTGGATGGCGTGATCATCACCTTCTAACAGAGCAAGTTCTTCAAGGGTTCGACTCTCTTTTCTATTCTGATAAACTTCAAGAGGTTCCATTTGCTTTTTAAGAAGGGGACACGATTTGTCTTGAACCCTTTCTTCCATGCCACGTTTCATGTAGTAAAATGCTTTCTTAATGTCACAAACATCAGGGTCATTGGCAATAGTGGCACCGAGAAGCTCGAGTCCTTCAATTCTCTGTTCCTTTGTACATTCTGGCCTGTTTATAAAATACTCCACAATGTCAATCTTACACTTAGTACTGGCTAAAAGAAGCGGTGTTAAACGTTGAATATTTGGCAACTGGGACACCCCAAGAGCGAGCAGTTCATTGGCAATCTCAAAGTGGCCCGTTTCAACAGCATAGTGCAGGACGGTGTTGCCTTGTTTGTCTTGAAGATCCATATTTGCCCCACGTTCGTTAAGATAGGTGACAACGTATATGTGGCCGTTGTAGCATGCTGTCATCAATGGGGTATGCCCAAAATTGTTACCTGCATTGACATCGGCCCCATTTTCAACCAAACAACTTACAATATCAAGGCGTCCAATGTAAGCAGCTGCCTTCAAAGGAGTCGAGTTTGTCAATGTTCTGGCGTCGACATCCGCGTTTCGCTCGATTAACAATTTAACAACATCAAGATGTCCAGTCGCAGCGGCAGCCCACAAAGCTGTACAACCCTGAATAACTTGGTCGTGAACTTTTACAGTTCCTCGAGCTTCGATGTCTGTTTTGTATCTTAGAAGCGTCTTCACAGAATCCAGGTTTCCATTGCGAGCGGCGATGATTAAGAGAGTGGTGATTTGGTCGCCATCTTTTGTTTTCGTTTCTAAAGCGGTGCTTCTTTCACTGATGCTCATCCGCTGAAGAACATCACTAAGTACAACAACCGCACCATCCCGAGCAGCTTCGTACAATATAGCTACAGGATTAGTGTATTTACTTTTTGATAGGTTTTCACCCATACTACTCAGCAGCTTTCTGAAAAACTTGAGATTTTACTGAGCTATGCTTGTATATTTCGCTGAATAATGCTCACTCAGTCGTTTATTTAAGAAACAGCTACAGATGACTGCGTGGACATAACCTTCACAAAATTTGAAATTTAAATTCTCAGCAAACTCAGTTGTCACGGTACAGTTATTTTTATATTTATTTAAGTGTAGACCAGTTTCGTCTTTTTTGTTGTCAAAATATTGCTGCTAGCTCGTATATACCTCATCTACAAGACCTACAGATTTCTCGATATAAATGTGAAAAAGCAACAGCTGCCATGTTTTCGGGAAACGGACAGAAAAAAAGTTTCCCTAGAATGTCCCAAGGATAAAAATGTTATAGGGCAGGCTAAAATCAATCAAGCAATACTGACCTTCAAAAAGCACTCTAGACAACCTAAAACAGCGTTTTGATGAATTCGAGAGAAAACGCACGTTGGATGTCCCTGTAAGATAAAAGACAATGCCCACGCCATAATCATGAAGTACTTATGCGATGCAAGAATTAAAAATCTGATGTCAAACAATAGTCAATGTTCTTTTTATAAAGATATTCAGGAGTCAAGTAAGAAGTGTTTCTATATGATCCAGCTACAGCATCAGTGATGCATTACATAAACCACATCATACAAATCCTTTAGGAATTTTTAATAAATATTTTTTTCATTACTAAAATCTTATGTTTTTTACCACACTATAGATATTGTCTAAAATGGTTTCACAGCGCTAAAAGAATAGATCTTATCACCTAATAAAAACATTCTTCGATATTCTATGTTTGGATCTAAAAGTCACTGAAAATTTTAGTGTATTTTAATTATTTTTAAGTTTAAAATTCATCAAGGAAACTGAGGGATTTGTTTACTGTATATAAACCTGGAATTATAATCCCCCTGACAGGTTTCTGTCTATTTTCGCCCCCAAAAAGAAGCAATGTTTGTTCAGTCACTTTGATCCTAAATGAGCTACATGTATTTTCTATTAGGAAATGTGTTATTCACCTACTCATTTAATTTTGATTTGCAGCTGCGATTTCTTTACTCTTCAGATTCCATTTTTACTGTTTTCAAGAAATTGAGAGAGATTACTTGCCCATCTATTTATGTTATAATGAAAAGCAACACGTGACTACTAAAAAAGAGAGCTCAATAACCAACCTTCTATGACGAAGCTATTCATCGCCAGAAGGTCTGCTATGGAGTGCCCACAAAATGCCTGCCATGAAATGCGTCACACCACATTAACCCCTAGCAGGTCTAAACCGAAAGGCGCTAAATCCTACAGTCAGAGTCACGCACACTTCATGCGTGACTAAGACAAGTCACGTACAGAGATGTCTTGTGAATCTTCACCACAAAAAGAGCAAAGTACAATAATCGATAGCCAAGGTAAGAACGTGCAAGCAAGGTTTTAGTCCACTTATTGATGACGTAAATCAGCAAAGAAGCGTACTAAACATCACACAGTAATAAAAAGAGCTTCCTGCCTCCGTCAAATTTCACCTAAAGTTTGAAACCTTGTTCCCGGATCTACTTGGCATTTTAAAATTTAAGATGGCGGCTTTTCATCCAGCAGCGCTGACATGGCATTGTGTTCAAGCCCACAGGCATTTTTAAAGCATTGGTAGATGTAAAATTTCTTATCAATTTTCTAAAACAAATCAAGCTTGACATTTGAGTCAGGTGTGTTTTGCTGAATGTAACTTGCTATATCATCTGCACTCATGTCCTGAATGCTGCTCTCTTCCACTGCTGATGTTTGTTTAAACAAATCATCATCGTCCTCTGTCGTTGTAAAAGCTGGTCGTGACGGCGTGTTGAAAATATCGTCTAACGTTTCCTCCTCGTGGGATGACGTTCTAGGGTGGTATTGAGTAAGTGTGAAATTAGTAATTATACAAGACAACAAACTGACTGATATCCACTTTGATGGAGTGTCAACACCTTTCTTAGTACTACAGACATGTGGGACAACCTCATAAACAGATCAGAGTGCATCTCGCAGGATGGCCAGATTTTAGTCCTTATAAATTTCCCTTTCTAAATTATCTCTATATACTCCTTCCAGCTTGCGTTAGTTGTGAAACCGGATCATGCATCAAGTGGTCGCTTTAGCGGTGGTAAGAACAACAGAACATCAACGTTAAGAGTGGCCGCGGTCGCTTAGGTGGCTGTTTATGAAAGGTGGTCATAGCAGGGAGTGGGGGGAGGGGAGTAGGGGAATGGTCAAAGGTAATTAAAAGTCTGCATTGGGCCAAGTGGTCGCGGTTTAGTGTTGTTCCCCCAAGGCGGGATGGGACGTTGTTCCGTTGTAAGATTATCCCGTTTAAATTCTCCGGTTGCGATTTACTACCTCGGTAGAAAGAGGCAATGTAAGAGTATAATGTCTCGCCCCACAACACAACACAATGATCCCAACTAGGACACGAATCCGGACAGCACGATCCGGAAACCGTAACAACAGGCTCAATTCTACGCACACCGTATTCACTATTTTTTTCACTATTCTTGTCAAGTGAAGTGCAATCAACGTAACGAACCTGAAAGAAGATTTCCTTGCTTGATCAAACAAGTCTTGATCTCCACTCTCGGGTACCCTCTCTTTTACTGCAGGTGTTATGTTTTTGTTCTTTGCAGCGCCAGCAGCTCCTCCGAACAGTTCATCCTCCCCAGCACCTGCCTCGACAAACCTTGGCTTAGGAGTCGGCTTTGGCTTGAGATCAGGTTTGGGTTTGAGGCGAGGCTTCGGCATAGGCTTCGTTGTCGGTTTAGGCGGCTTCTGAGGCTTGGATTTTACAGTCAGAAGTTTGTCCAAGTCATCTTCAATTCTGTTAAAAAAATAAAAGTGCGATATAAACGGTTACCAATAGGCCATTTTTGATATATTAAAATTCTAACTTAGCTCCAAGGCTTCGGAGAATAAAACAAAAGCCTGACAAAAGAAATTACATCGAGGACGAGAAATGAATAACGGCCTCGGAGCCAAGTTAGAATTTTAATATAACGATATTGGAGTATTCAAGTGATGCACTTGAGTGAGGGATAGAGGCTCAAGCTCAAACAGTTTGGAGAGAGAAAAACTGAAGGCATGGAGATATCATCAGCATGTTTTAGGATGATAACTATATGTATAAATTCAACAAGAATTAACTGAGGCTGGGACTGAGGAACTACCTCTCAAACTCAAAATCAAGACCGTGACGATGCTTGGATTTCTGATCTTAATTAGCATAGATGTTTTTGTTTTCGTTTTGTTAGAGCGTACGACTATTCGTGTTTGGTTTGTATGGAATTCTTTTGCAGTTCAAGGTCGTTCGACGGCATCTCTCGCTATCTTCCTGATTCTTGTCTGCCTCTGATGATATTAAGTATGAAAATGATTTGCTCTCGTTTCACTGCAGAGTTATTAGAGAAAGACAATAATTTGACATCACTTTTTACAATTTTATTAAACAGAAAACGAAAAAAACAAACAAACAGCGTTTTTACTCACTCAAGAAGCTTTGAATTGTCTTCTACATCGATGTCAATTTTCTTTCTTTCATCCGCTCCAGCAGGTATAAAAAGATTGTTGATGTCTGCATCATCATCGTCCTCGTTATGGTCCGTCCTGAAGATTGAAAAGCCTTTGACGTTTGACGTGGGTAGAGGTACAGCAGAGGATTTGGCAGCAGCCAGCAGCTCTTCTTCCTCTTCATTGTCTTCATATTGACCATCTTTATCATCAGAGCTTGCAAACAAGTCTACATCTTCCACTATCTCTTGCTGGGCATCTGTCTTTCCTGTGGAGTCTTCCTCCTATGAATGTGTATCATAACAAATAGTACTGACTTGTCATTTGATGAATCACATTCATAAACTTCAGGATTATCTGATACAGTTGTTTGTAACTTGGTTATTGCTTCATTTCTTGACAAATAGTGCACAATTGTGGATTGTTTCGCCCTAGGCAATAGCTATATTTAACACAATATTTGAATTAAACTATCGGCATATTAAGAATTTAGGTTCATCTCTTTCCTCAATAAATAAAAATAGGTTTGTCCCAATCCAAAGGAACACAATTCAACAGAGCAAGATGGCTCATCAGTGCACAAAGCAACTAAGAATATTCAGTTACACCTCATGACTGGGATGCCTGTGACTCAACTTCACATTACCCTTAGCACGACTCTTTGCACAACAAAGTAGAGAGCAAGCTTAGTAAGCACTTTAGGTTTATCTCTTCCTTGATTAAAGGTTACACGTAAATAACATTGTTCCAATCCCAAGGAACAGGATTCAACAGAGCTAGATGGCTCTTCAGTGCACAGCAGTGCAAAAAGCAACTCATATTTAGCTACACCTTCTGGCTGGGGAGCCTGTGATTCAAAAGCACAATTTACCCTTAGCATTACAAAGTAGTCAGATTCACTGGTAACCATGGATACCTCTTGGTGGAGGACACTGCAAGTGATTACTGGAAACCCAAAATACTTATGTTTTCAGGTTAGTGCACAAACCCAAACCTCCAATGCAAGGCTAATAATTGAGGTGTAACTTTACCCAAACGATTTTAGATTTTCTCTCATTTCAGTTCAGTACAGGGTAGGCAACCAGATCCCTTAATAGGAGACCAGTTGTTTGAGGCAGTTGTTTAAAGTTAAGCTTATTCTGGATTATTTAGAGCCAATGGCAAATTCTTCTTAGAAGCTACAAATAAACAGTTTAATGTGGTATACATAATTTGCCTCATTTCTTCTCTCCAACATGTTAAGCATTCAATAATTTAAAACTGTAACTTAACATAAGCAGTGAGAATTGTTCTGAATGACCAAAATAAAAACTTAAATAACATTAAATCTCAGATTAGCTTTAATTGCATTCTTTTGGACAACAAGTTCTTCAAATCATAATTCACTCTGAATCAGGCTTAGGTGTTAGCAAGTTTGTTAATCACGCTGCTGTGACAGCAGCCTTCCTGTTAAGTGAGTAGAGTCACCTGCCCTGCACTGGGTTAGACCTTCAATTTCACTTTCTTTGGATAATATCAGCCTTGACGAAATACATGTACCTTAATATTTGATTGAGTTTCCTCTAGGCGATTGATTTCCTTATGTCCTCTTTTTGCACCAAGAAACTCAAGAACCAGTGAACTGCAGGCCAGTTTAGGAGTCTTGGCTATTTTTTGAAGTACTTCCTCCATGTATTGGCGGCGTTCGCTAATCACAGTATCATTAACTAAGAATGCCTTCTTTGGGGGTGGATCAAACACAACACTTGGAAACTTCTGAGATAGTTTATTACATAACTCTTCAAACACCTCATATCTCTGTGGAATCTGCCAAGATATTACAGAACACAAATGTTATGATGCAAACTGTTTATAATGCAATCCACAATCAACCGCATGCCGTCTACAATCAACAAAATGCAGAATCTATGATACAGGATCTATGGTGTGATAGGTGTGAAATTCGGCTACAATGTAAACTAGGTGTGGAACATACAGTGAAACCTCCACTGACGGTCCCCTCTCTACAATGGCCACTTTTTTGTTCTGTGGATACATTCACACATTCATACATTCACTCTTATTTTAACCTCTCCACAACAGCCACCTCTCCACAACTGCAACAGCCACTAAAGCACATCTCAACTGCCAAAATGACCTCTCAACAGCGGCCAGTTCATCAATGACTAATGAACGGTGCATACAAAAGTCTAATTCCTTTATATTATAATTATCATTTGTAAAAGGCAACAAAAATAATTATTGATTCATATTGTGCGTTGTTGGTCTCTGTCTCTGTTTGGTTTCTGTTTCATTGAAACAGATATACTTTAATTGTATTATGTATTGACATGCTACAATGAGCATCTTTTAAAGATAAAAATGCTGCAACCCCCAAAAATACATACATGTACAGGTGTGATATTACACCCCTACCTCCCCATAACAGCCACCTCTCAACGGCCACTTTCCTCTGTTCCCAAGGTTGCCATTGTGGAGAGGTTTGACTGTAGTTGGATATGACAAATTAGTTTTTAACACTTACCATAAACTGTACAACATCTGACTCTTTATGTTTATTAGGTGTTTTAAAATAGAACAGCTGTGTCACCACAATCACATGATACATGACTGCTCCCCCAAATGGTCCAGAAATATGTTCATACTGTGGTACACGAATGTCTAGACCAGTTGCCTTGTTCTTTAGTTCCCTGTAAAATAATATTAATTAATGGGTAATATAACCCCATGGGATTACTTGGGTATATATATACATGCTATTTGCCAAGGTCTTGAAAATGTTGGCCGAGGTAGTAGGGCAGCATTTTCAAGTCTGAGGTCACAGTTTTTCACTATACAGACTGACCCTAAGCCAGCTAGTAGGGGACTTTAGATTTGAGTATGAGTACAAGATCGAGTATGAGTACGACTTTTCAATTCTAGTTTTCAGGCTTCACATCATCACAACACATACCCATCTCATCCCATGAGATCCCCTCTCTGCCTAAAACCAACATGAAGAGTGAGGGCTTTGGAAACGTCACTGGTTTGAACAACAAAAATTGTACTCATACTCAATCTCATACTCGTAATCCAATCCAAAGCTCCCTAATAACTTATATTTATTATTTCCTCTCTCTCACAATAGCTTTTACCAATGTTGACCTTTCCCACTCACACATCGTGCATATGTTACCGTGACCTTGGGCAGAGATAGGAAAATACAGACAGTGCTAAGAACCAATCAGGTCACAGGATTTGATACCATGCCCTCTTGGGAAAAAAGTAATACATATAATTATCTGTTGTAGGTCAATTTGTTCTTGAAGTCAATTTGTTTCAAACTAGGTTAGTTTGAACTCAGGCTAGGTCAGTTTGCTAATTTCTCTCTGTGAGCTTTTCTCCAACTAAATTTTTTAAGTACACTTTTCAAAATGCACAACTCCTAAATTTGAGAAGCATATGATATATATTATTGATGTTTACAAGCTTGTAAAGTTCAGCTAATTTCATTGCAAAACACTATGTAACATCGTAAATCAGCAAAACTACTACAGTGAAACCTCTATTAAGCGGACCCCCACTTAAGCGGACACCCTCTATAAAGCAGATGCGGACACTAAAATAAATTGTATTTGGCTAATTTATACTGTTAAAAATCTCTATTAAGCAGACACTGGACTGAATTGACAATTAATGTGGCATTGGATTACGTCCTTGAGATAGTTGATTAAATAGTTGATTAAATGTACTCATATTATGCTGCTGTATTGAAAGGGCATTATTGCAAATTAATGCAGGTAATGAAAGCTGATGAACTCGAACTCTGGATAGCTTCATTAACAACCTGAAACTTTATTACAGTACAGAGGAACCGTTGAATGTCAGCTGTTCACAAACATTGTGTAATTGTTATAGGCCTTAAGCGGACACCCTCCATAGATCATTTTCACTGAAAACCATCCAGTGGAAAAAGCTAAGAAATTGTAATGTTACAGAAGATAACTAAATAAGACACTTCTCCAAGTTTTAGGCCTGTGCATTTCCCCAAACTTCAGATATTCGTCGAAATGTTTTGCAGAAATTTACAGAGCCCAGTATGAAAATGCCATGTTGGTATACATCTGTGGTACACCGATATGGCAGCCAGAAAATAGTGTATGAACATCTGGAACCAACTGATTATCAGTACTGAACAAACAAGCATTTACATAAGCACTTTTCCTAATGCTCTATCTTCTAAAATGGTTCAAATCATGAGATAAGTATGTTGTTCAACAAACTCAATCGTACCCTTGACATCACGCACCTTCATAACCCTGAAATTCAAAATGCTCTGGTTTCCAAACGAAATACACTATTGAGCTTTAAAATTGTAAACAGATATGTAAACATACCACCTCTTATGCCTGATGAGGATAAAAACTTTGGTGGCTCTTTAGTTTTGGACTTTAGAAAGTGATGACGTCACGTGAAAACAATCTATTAAGCAGACACTTGGGAAGGTCCTGAGGATGTCCGCTTAATAGAGGTTTCACTGTACTAACAAATTTTAAAATCTCTGTTTCAAACTTCAAAATCTGTGGGCCTATTTAAAATTCAAATGCGTGGATGAAGGCAACCACAGGGAGACGAAACTTCTTTCAAAATTCCCTTGGATTTTCGATGTTGAAAAGCCCTCTTTCTTAAAAATTCCTAGATTGGCAGATAACTTGACGTCTCAGGAGTTCATCAAGTTCCTCTTCACTAGAGGACGTTATGTTTACACTCTCCAATTTATGTTTCTCAGAAGTCATACTCAATGTTTACAAGTGACATGCGACTTACATTTTGCACTTGTGATTTACAAGTCTGACTCGGGTCTGCTAAATCTGCGAGCCAGCGAGCCATGCGAGCCACGGTGTGAGCCATGCGAGTCATGCGAGCCATTTATGCGAGTATTTTTTTT